TTCGCTTTCATTTATTGATGATTGATGATCGAGCATCGACAGACTAAATAGTGAGACAAACAATTTTTCGACTTATTTCTGGTAATTAGCTAGCAGAGGTTATGTTGATGTTATTATGTAATTTGTCAATCATTTGTTTATTCTACTTTTTATATATAGATTGGAGCAGTTGACTACAGAATGAACCATTATAGGAAAAAATTGGATAAATTTCAACGCTTCATATTTTCTAGAGAACATGGATATGAATATGTGAATAAACTTTTCAATAAATTGTTTGTCTCACTATTTAGTCTGTCGATGCTCGATCATCAATCATCAATAAATGAAAGCGAATATAATGTGTAAACAATCAATTAATTAAACGAGTACAGTTTTTAAATCAAAACATTGGGGCACGCGCATGCTGCCTCGCGACCAACTTTATAACACTCCAAGTTCGGCACATGCGCATGAGCCACCATTGAACTCTGTGCCTTGATTAATGAGAAATAAATTGTTTGAACGGTTGCCTCAATATTTTTCTTGCAAAGCATTGTATTATTGAGACGAGGAAATTACGAACGTTCGATTGAGCTATTAAACTTTGAAAAACGTTTATTCTACAGAGAGAAAATGAATTTTGTACTTATCTTATTTGCAACCACGTCAATAATTAATATTTCGGAAACTACTGAACGAGGAAATGATTCGAGTTACATAATGGAATGTGCATTGAAAACGCTTAAAAGTGGCTTTTTTTTCAGATTTATTGGTTGCGAGGTCAATATATTTTGTATATTTTGGTTGTAGGAGTTAGTTACAATTAGCAATTGTAGGAAATGACTCTTGTGTATAATACTTTATTATTCCCTATTTCATTATTATATTATAATAAAATATATTTACTTTTTAAAGTAAGTTCTAGAAATCTTGGTGATGCTTTCTAAAATGGAAAATTTTTTTAGAGAATGCCCGAGAAGGTTTATTCTGTTTTAGGGTGTTTCCAGAAGAATCGGACACTTGGAAAAAAAAAACAAATTCAGACACGTTTCTAAGTGGAAAAACCGTGAATTAATAGTGACCAACCTTAATAAAATAAGCACCCAATGCTGGCCCTAGGACTCCGATCTAAGTTACGTTAAAAACTACAAATCAATTATTTAAGGCCTTACAGTCACCCAAAATCTTACAATGTATTTCAAATGGGAAAAAAGCATTCTCTTCTGTGCACGATTCCGGGAAAACCGTTTAATCAATTTTAACGCGCGAGGCGTCATTTTCTTCGTTTTCCAATTCTCTATGCTTCCCTTTCTTACAATTTCGATTTTTATACTTAAAAAATTTTCAAGGGCACTTATGTGAAAAAATTTCTAGAAATTTAGCAGAATTTGTCTTAAAACGCCTTGTAAAAATTTTTCAAGTATAAAAATCGAAATTGTGAGACAGGGGAAGCATGGGGAATTGAAAAACGAAGAAAATGACGCCTCGCGCGTTGAAATTGGTTAAACTGTTTTCCCGGAATCGTGCACTAAAGAGAAGGCTTTTTTCTTAATCGATGTACATTGTAAGATTTTGGGTGACTGTAAGGCCTTACAAAAAATATGTTAATCTGCCAATCATTAGTTCGTGAGACAAACTAACGGCGATTATGATTAAATTATGGGTAAACTTATTATTTAAGTCATTAAAAACAAAAAACTATTTCGGCCTGTGACAGCTGACTCGTAGCCATGGAGACTATACTAAACGAGGCCCGGCCTAATGTATAAGTTTTTGCGATTCCCTGACGGCCGAATAGCGAACACCAGTGTTGGTCCTAGAGAGTTGCAGAGTGACTCCAGACCGTTTCTGCGTTCCTCTCCGTTTCGACGCATTCAATGCTAGTAACTTTTGTCTGCTAAGAGAGTAGGTTTGTTTGTGCTGTCGGCTCAGCCAGAATCATCAAACAATTTAAAAAAAAATACATCAATCGAATGATTAGATTTATTTGTTCGGATATTTCTGACGGGCATAAATTGATTCTGAAATTGCAGGAGTTATGTTATCTTCGTTTTGAAATTTCTTTGCAAACTTGTATAAAAAATGTTTAGAATACTTTTGATAAATTTTCTTTTACCCACTGTGTTTTCATGCCTAAAAAGTGACTTTATAAGTTTTTGAAAAACCATACTTTTTATTGGAAAATACAATGTTTCAATCCGCTTTTATGTTCCTAATATAAAATGATTTATCACTGGTAAGAAATTCAAAAACTGAAAGAAATTTTATCTTTCACCAGTAATACAGCTTTGTATAAACAATTAAACGAATGAAACTATTATCAGTTTTATAAGAATGAAAGGAATGAATGTTCATGAAAAATTTAGTCTTTGCAAAATTTCAAACACTCATGAACAACCCGCAATGTGAATCAAATCATATTTAATCAATGTATTAAACTACAATTTGGTGCAAATAATGGATTAAAACGCTCTGAAAGAATGAAAAGCAAAGTCGACAGAGTATCTTAAACATGGTAGAGCAAAGAACGAATTAATACATAAGTTTATTGTTTAACAATAAACAATAGACATTAGTCGTGTTTTGTGTTTCTTTATAATATTGATTATGAAACTATTCAAATACTTGTACTTTACCAAGTGAATAGTACATTATGCACCAAGGGAGTACAGTAAGCAATGGGCGCACTGTGGCATCACACAGTGCCGTACCTTGCTTACTGTGTACTCCCGTGATGCATATGCGCTTTTTTCCCACATCACGCGGAAAGTGCGTTATCAAAATACTACCAATACTACTGTAGAAAATGTTATTCAGTATAAAAAATATTTCGTATAATAAGTGTATTCAACTACAATTTAGTGCAAATAATAAATTAAAATGCCCTGAAAGAATGAAAAGCAAGGTCGACAGAGTATCTTAGAACATGGTATAGCAAATAACGAATTATTACATTAATTTATTGTTTAACAAAAAATAGTAGACATTAGTCATGTTTTGCGTTTATTTATAAAATTAATTATAAAATGATTAAAATACTTGTACTTTACCAAGTGAAAATATTTTATCTGTAAAGTTGTGGTGATTGATGGAATATCATTAATTATTTGTTAATTATTAATTAATTAATTAATTAATTGACTATACTATATACACTATAGTATAGTCAGCTGCTGCAGCGCCGCGTAGCCCCCGTGCAGTTGAGCACCACGAGTTCTACCGCCCAAGACGTTTTTACTTATTATTCGGTGAACGATTAATTTTATCGGGGGTTTGTTCATGGGGGTTGATTGCGCGTCAAACGCGAAATCAATTGAGCTTATAATTTTTAATTTAACTTGATTGGTGGTTGAAACACGGCTCGGTTGAGATATGGGGGCTAGACGCCAGCCCCCAAGACGAAATTTGCATTTTACCCTATTTATCGGCGACGCGCAAAAAACTTTATAGAAAACTTTTTATTAATCAAGTTACGCGGAATCGATTGAAATAATTAGTTCATCGAAAAGTTGAAAAAATTGCTTTCTAGGGGGTAACTTCCAAGACTTTGGCGCAGCCGAGCATGAAAAAAGGGATGGTAAAGACATTATTTAAAGAAAAGGGAATAACCACTAATTAATTTTTTTTACTTTGTGCGTTGTAAAAGTCCGTCGCGAATTGGTGCTACCAGTGTTACAATAATTATTCAATTCTTGAATGTTCAAATTAACTGATTAACAAGAAGATTTAATTTATTGATCACTTGAAAACTAGCTCTACTGTTGTCAGATAATTCTACTGGAAAGAAAATGTTTGGAAGTAGATCAACTATTCTTTATTATTATTATTAAATAACGTAAAATAAATAATATTATCATATATAAAAATTATTATTATTAAATAACTATATTAAATAAAAATATTATTAAATAATAAAAATAATAAATTCATTAGTATTTTTATTAAATAACGTACTGCTAGAGAAGTGTCAAATATTTTTGTAATTTGAATCTGAATAAATGTAATAATAAATCTATGTAAATAACATCTTTTTATTAATTTTCATTTTTATGTATTTCATCCTTATACATATACCTTACATTTACATTACAGCAGATACAAAAGCTTACAATGATTGCATTGATTGTTGCATGAAATCAATTTTTAACTGAATTTTTTTGTAATATTTTTTACTTGTTTCTTGACAGTTTACTAAGTGCTTCCTGATACTTCAACAACAGACAAGTAAATTTTAAGCAACTTGTACGATGATTCCACAATGTATTTTTGGAAAAATAAGCAAAACAGTTTCCACATGGCTTTTTTTCAACTTTGTTAAGAGCATCACTTCTTATTTTCATAGCTGGAATTATAGTTCCTGTTAATTCATAAAAATGAGCTAAGCTCTGGTGTCGTACAAAATTTAAAGCAATAGATTTTAACTCACTTTCCTTATTCTTAATAAACTGATTAACAATGTATTTGTCATTGTGATATGTTATCAAATGCCTTGTTAGTTTTGTTACAAATTTCTCACAGAACAAGCAAAATGTATAGTTATTATTATATTTAGTACTATAATAATCTTGAATAACTGGATCAAGTATCTGTAAATTTACACGCACTTTCTTTAATCTAATATCATTCAAATAATCTGAGTTGGTGTGTGACTTTTTTTGTACATTCAACTGAAAACCAAATACATTATCAGTATTCAATTGATTACGTACATTATGCACCAAATGGGAAGCAATAGTTTTTTTAGTTTGTAAATCAAGAGCATTTATAATGGTGATTTTGTAAGGATTGAATATCCTGTAAACAGTATTCTTAACATCAAAATTTACTTCCTCCGTAGGACTAACTTCAAGAGCAAAGACAATCTTCGAATTGCCACAACATAAATCCAAAGCATTCAGAATTCTACTATAATTCACTCGTTGATTAAATTCCACATTTTTGTAACTTATTTTTTGTATATCCACCATATTCGCTGAAAAATCCCCAACAGAATGATTGATATCATTACATCCAAATTCCAATACACTAGTATTTGTATCTGCTGTAATATATTAAAAAATTAATTAAATTTGAATGTAATTTTCATTTAGGAACTAGAAGAAATGAATTTTGATTAACAGAACTTACATTGCATTATAAATGCTTTCTCAATCTTTGCATTGTTATTTATAATTGGTTCATCACTAGACTTATTGAGGGAAATAGTTTTACCTAAGTAATTTCATAAAAAGATATCATAAGTTGAATGTATTTATTATTGAAAAACCTTTGCATGCTTTTTATATTATGTTTTCTTAAAATAAAGATTCCAGTAATTATAATATCTACAAATACCTTTTGCAAAAAAACCTTTCTGCTGTCTTTCACAAGTATAACATTCGCAATCCTGATTTCCAATTCCAAAATAATTTTCACTGTAAAAACAAAATAACTCTTCTCCTGCTTGGATATTTCTCAAAGTTTGAATAATCAGGTCAGTTTTTGAAATAGTTAAATACATGCAATTAGGATCACAGTCATGATTCAATAAAGCAGCAGTTCCCAGCATTAATACAACATCTTTGATACGACTAGTTTTAATTATAGAAAAATTTAAGTTCCTCTCTTTCAATATATCTTCTCTTTCCTTTGTTATAGGCTTGTAAATGCCTGCTAAAGATCTTAACTTAGTATCATTGTTGATGTTAATTTTAGCTACAATTTTCAAGCCATTCTGCTCTTTGAGATACCTCGTACCCTTTTGAATGCATACTGAGGAGTCAACACATAGTGTCTCAAGATAGAAATTCATCGGCTTATCTACCCAATATTTTCTTGTTATACTAAAATTAAAGTACAATTCATGGTCCTCAAGTAGATTTTTCAATTCTTTTTTGATATCAGCAACTGATTTTTTATCCATAATTTTATATTTTAACATTAACTTTCCTACCGCAGTTTTGGCATCCTCGCTAAAATTATTATAGGGATGCACTTTTTTTGTAGGAAATCCAAGAAATGGATCAACAATAATAAACTTCATTAGGTCATCGACTTGCATAAGAGTCCATGAATTCATTCCAATTCGTTTGGGAATCTCATTTTGTAATTGCTGCTTATGCTTATTTGAAGACATACTATAATGTATAATTGAATCTATAAGACCTATGTAGGAATAAAATGTTAATCATAAAAAATCTTGAATGATATCAAAAGTATATAATTTATTAGTAAATTTTAAGTCAGTACAATATACCACCACAAAGTTGAAACTTACTTACTTAAAAAGGATACTTACACTATTAAATATATTATTGAACCACAATTATCACCACCTGAATAACTCAAAAGCTAATGATTAATGTAAATCAGGTTATAGCCATCAACATACGAGAATCAAATACAGTTTTAATATTTAATAGTTAGTTTTGTTTTGACTGATAAATACAACTGTCAAGATTGGTCTTCAGTACCATCAATTTTTTCTATGTGTAGATGAACAAAGTAATTCTATATTTTAAATCTTTGAATTATTTGTTAAGTTATAAAATAGTTCCTTAAAAATTGTATGTCTGCATAAGTAGTAGTACGATTATACAATATGTCAGCATATTTACAGAGCGTCTGCATAACTACTCGAAAAATATGCAGACAATTGGCTGAAATTATGACGACTTGTATGCATAAGTGCCTGTTCGCATTGGAAACGTATACTTGCTCATAATTATATAAATAATCATTTCTAATAAATATTTAATGTATACATCGAATAAGAAACACTTAATCTACCCATGTATACAGTTTTTATAAGGTTATTTTTTTGTCAGCATAAGTACCTATATATATATATATATATATATATATATATATATATATATATATATATATATATATATATATATATATATATATATATATAAGAGTACAGTTCTGCAGAGTAAAATTAATAAAAATGCACCTAGGACAAAAATACTAACGTGACCTATCTTTACCAGATATCCAGGTATACGAGGTGTGTTCAAAAAGTAAGGTGACTTTGTATTTTTAAGAAAAAATATTTATTTATTTATCAATATTTATGTTGTCCCCTTCAAAGTAATCCCCCTCAGATACAATACACTTATGCCAACGGTTTTTCCAATCCTCAAAGCACTTCTCATAAGCACTTTTCGGTATAACCTTGAGCTCTTCCAGCGATGCAGTCTTTATCTCTTCAATCGTTGCAAATCTCCGTCCTTTCATAGGTCTATTTAGTTTTGGGAACAAAAAAATGTCACATGGGGCCAAATCCGGTGAATATGGTGGCTGAGGCATGATTGTGGTGTTGTCTTTGGCCAAAAAATCTCTCACAAGCAAAGATGAGTGAGCAGAGGCATTATCGTGATGCAAAAGCCATGAATTGTTTTTCCACAATACTGGGCGTTTTCTTCGTATTGCTTCTCGCAAACGGCGCATAACTTCAAGATAATACTGTTTATTGACCGTACGTCCATATGGTAAGAACTCCTGATGCACCACGCCATGGTAATCGAAGAAAACAGTGAGCAAAACTTTGACATTCGATCGAACTTGGCGTGCTTTTTTCGGTCTTGGCTCATCTGGGCTCTTCCATTGGGACAATTGGACTTTGGTTTCAATATCATAACCATATACCCATGATTCGTCACCAGTTATGACTCTTTTGAGTAAATCTGGGTCGTCGTTGACGTCATTCAACAGTTCTTGAGCGATGCTCATGCGACGGTTTTTTTGGTCAAAATTTAGCAATTTCGGAACAAACTTCGCTGACACACGTCTCATGCCCAAAGCGTAAGAAAAAATTTTATGGCACGAGCCAAGCGATATACCAACACCTCAGCAACTTCTCTGATAGTGTTTCGACGATTTTCCAGAACAATTTTCTTCACTGCTTGAACGTTTTCATCAGTTGTTGACGTGCTTGGGCTTCCAGAGCGAAGCTCGTCATTGGCATCTTCCCGGCCATCTTGGAAGAGTTTGTACCACTTGTAAACATTTTTTTACTCAGAACAGTTTCACCGTAAGCCACCGTCAACATTGCAAGTGTTTCGGAGCACTTTATTTTATTTTTTACACAAAATTTGATGCAAATCCTTTGATCCATATTTTTCGATAGCAAGAAATCGCCGAGCACGCAAAATACTTATAACCTTTACGCCTCTCACAACCAAACAAAAAATGCTATACACTTGAAACTTGGTACAGATGTTCGGGAAGCGTGTACCAACATAACAAAAAAAAATCGATAATCGAAAGTACGTTGCCCGTAAAATTTGAAAAGTCACCTTACTTTTTGAACACACCTCGTACATTTGATTACCTTCATTGAGGCAATTGCAACGATTTACATTTTCTTTTTTATCTTGGGTTTGGGCGGATAGTAATACCGGAAGTTTGGTCTCTTCACCAAGTAAACAAAAAAAAAACAAATTTCTTTTTTTGAATTTTTAATTACTTGCATGTGGTCCGAGGACATACTGTCAGTAAGCTCTCTCGATCGCTCTAAATTGAAAGACCTTTAATTGAAAGATCAGTAAAAAACCGAGCTACCCGAAAATGAGCTACAACCGTTGTACAATGTGTAAGACTTTTAAAATTGTAAAAATGTCAAAATTTTAACAATATGCACAATTATATTTTGTACTGTTATATTTCAGCCCTTATATTATGATGTTTTGGTAAAACTAAAAAATGAGTCGGATGGAATCGAGGCGGTGCTGCTCCAGAAATATTGAGCCAATGCGCTGAACAAAGTTTCCAAAACACTTAGAAACAAGTATACTAATAGCCGGAGTGATACCCCTCTTGACATCTTGAATCGCGACAACTTTCATGATCTCCCTTCTCCAATAGCACTAAACGTTTAAAAAAGTTTAAAATAGTTTAAAATAGTATACGTTTAAAATAGTTATTTTAAAAAACTTTATTCAACTACTTTCCAGAAGGACAAACGTTTTTTTGAAGATATTTTTAACTTTTCAAAATAGTCACGATTGAAAATAGATTTTTAGCCTCGTAAAATTTTACACGTTTATAAAACGTTTAAAAATTTATTAGATAATATGATATAACGTTTTGTCGTTCCTTTTTGAATGTTTTTTAAGTATTTAGTGCTATTAGAGTTATAATTAACTATTCATTTGTCAGAAATAATTACTTTGTTAACATCTTACTTAACAGAATTCTCTTCAATAAAAGTTTTATTAGTTGCAATAGTTGAAAATGTTATTAAATTAGTCAAAAAATTAGTTTAATGGCCAAAAATATTAGATAATATTTATTTTTTTACATCAATACTGTTAATTTCATAAGTCAATAATAGTACTCAATTTTCAATAAATGCCATGATATAATAAAATATTCTTTTTTTTATTTACCAATAACTGCATATTGTTTAATGAAGAATCAATAATAACTCTAAAATTTACATTGTCATTTGGTAGTATAGAAATCCACATTGCTAAATCATAATATACATGAAATAATGATTTTTGCAGAATAGATCTCCCAATATTCGTATACATGTAAACATTTTTCGTCAACTAAAATCTCTTAGATCATGGATTAAATATAATTTCTGAAATCTTCCATTGTATCTTCTGTAAGATTTCATATCTCAGATGGTCCTTAATTAACCATAGTATAGTATTTTGAAATCTCGTACAAAATCACTAAATAGATTTTGTTGTATAATTATAAATGAGATCTCAAAAGAAATATTGTTCTTCATTTGGAGTTCTCATCTTTTTTTGCTTTTCATTTGAGAATCTATCTGTTTATTTTCATTATGAAACATTTCCATTGTATAACATTTTCTAGTGGTATATAAAAAATCTATTTTATCATTTACTATGGTTTTTATGAAAAAATGAGCTATCATTTCACTTTTTAATAATTGTTTTATCTTTAACTATATTAAATATCAAGAACATGATAAAATATCTCCAATCTAATAGATTTCTGTAAAAAATATTTTGGCACTCCATAGTACTTTGGATATCTTGAAGTATAAGATGTAACGAATACTTTGATATTACTTGGATAAATTTAAAGGTTATTAAAAATCATTTGAACTTATGATGATCTTTAACTCTGAGCATATTGCATTAATATGCCTTAAAGGAAGTATGAAACTAGAGTAAATTGCAATATTTTTCAACTTTGTTCACATTGACAATTATAAAAATATATAAATTTCTTGTTTTTTACAATCTTGTATAATCAAAATAGATATTGGTGTTTATGATTAAACTACCAAAGGGCAAACTAAAAAAAATACTATTTTCTTATTCTCATACATATATTTAAAATAAAATATATTTTGATACCAACATATCTTTCAGTTCCAAAATAAGTTGTTTCCACAATTAGTTCTAAAGTAGGCTGATGCCACAAGTGGACATATTTTTTATGTTAATCCTTAATTTTTTAGTCATAAAATTAAATTAAAGTACCTTAGTGAAATTATTCATTGAATCAAAATATATAAGCATTTTTATATCATAGAAACTAAAAAATTAATCAAAAATTGCAATAAAATAAATTAATTTCAACCTTTGCATGCCTTTACAAATTATTTTTCATAATAAATACAAGATAAGTAAATTTCTAAATATAACACAATTTTCATTTCTAATGTAAAACTTATCTTGTATCTTAATTTTCCTTTTAATCAATGAATGAAACAAATTATTGAAATTAACAATATAAAAAATTAGGTAGACTTTCACATTATAGAAAATACCTAAAGAAAAGTAATATAATTATTAATGCAATAATCTATTATTAAAATATTTCATATTATTCAAGAACTTATTTAACTATATTAGTCTATCAAAACTTTTATCCTCATATGCCGTAGAACTCTCATCATAATAAAAAAAATAGAAAAAATTAGTTTGATGGGCAATTAATGTAATGATAACTATGAAAATATTTATGCCTAATATAAATATTAGTGATTTGTGTTATCAATAGAGAATTATAAATGTATTTAGATAAATATTGGGGTAAAAGATTTTGATACAGTAAAAGGTAAATTCATGTTCAGTATGCTTATTACAGAACATACTATTAGATTTATACAATTAAAAATACAACAAAAAACACACCATCCTTGCTCTTTGAAGCAGTTGAGTTTTTATCCTGGCAGTACATAATTAACGCACAACCTTCATGGCATATTTGTCAATTGCATTACTAATACATTCATTAGTATACAATTAAAATTTCAACTCATTTCAAACATGAGCATAAAAAACTGCAAAAAATATTCAACTTTATCCACTACACTCATTTTTTTAAATTACTTTCACTTCCAAAATTTACTTTTTTTACTATCTACAAGTCAATCATATCACATGTTATTATAGTATATCTTACATTTAATTTTCATTTTTCCGATAATAAACTGTATTTTAAATATAATTAAAATCCAATTTAATTTCTATCTTTACTATAGTTATAGACTTTTACTATGAACTACTTCTTTCAACGTAATAATGTTATTATTTTCAAGTAAATATACTTTAAATTCTTCTTCTTATAGATGGCTCTGCATTGTCTGGCAACTTTGACTTGAGGGATTATATACTTTTATTAATACAGTTCAGTTCGCCACGAAAAATTCGCATAACCCGGAACGACTAATGATTGATTTTCTTAAAAATAAATTTATTACTAGCTTCACCTTAATTTGTACCACCTGGACAATTCTTTTTCGGTATTTGTACCATTTCTAGAATATGAATAAAACAATAAGAACGATATCTCGTAAAATTCATACTCCTGGAAGAAAACTGATCGTTATCTTGAAAAAATAAATACTAATAGTTTCGTATTAATTTGTACCATTGGACAACTGCTTTTTTGTTAATTTATACAATTGAAAAACTGCATTTATATCGTGCCTAAAAACATAGAAATTTTCCTAGGATAGTTTAGAAATTGAAATGAACATTTTACTACGCATGCGCAGCAGAAAATCAATTTTTCATCAGAATAATATGTGACTTTGAAAGAAAATAAATTGCGAATGTCTTTCTCATAATTTGTACAATCTAAAAAATACACTAAATTAATTTTTACACTTGTAGTACTTGAATAATACAATATTTTTTTTGTGTAATTATAATATTGATAAATTTTACAGGAAACTCACTTATTTCCTAAAAAAATATACTTCTAGCTTTTTCTTAATTTGACTTGACTGAAAATAATATTACTGTCATGTGACACTCTAAACTTAAATTAGACAAATTAATATATAAAGTTCTAAGTTATCGTGTGTTCTTAAGCTCCTGCATCCACAAACACAGCTGATTACGCACATGAATTAAATAATTTAAAGTATATTTATATAGATACGTAATTATACGTAAAGTAAATAACTCTTATAGGAAAATAATTTACTTCCTCAAAAATAATATTCCACTAATCTCTCCTTAAATCGTACGATCGAAAAAAAGTTAATTTAGAATTTGTACCCTCCCAAAATATTGAGCAATTAAAAACGATTTCCGTAGTCTACTTCCACAACTCCAATTACGTGTTTGCCGCGCCGCGGAAAATCTTTCTCCGCAATTACTTTTTTAAATTCATCATCAAGATGTTTCTATACACTAGAATTGCTGGAATGGTCATTAACATCGTTCGAATATTTTTCTGCTTCGTGTGCTTTTTCAAGTTCAAAGGAGACCGACTTCTGCCTTTCGAATTCCTACATACAAGATACATTTTCGTTAAAGATTACATTGAGAAACAATTATCTTATCGCTGACAGGGCAATAGCCTGTAGTTTGAAAACTTTCCGTCGTAACTACTCAAGATTATTTTTACTTTTCTCTTCAATTTCTTTCTGAACAGTGACGGTACATACGCATACGCTATTCATCCAAAGATTCTTAAACGCAATATGTCCAGCGTATTTACAGTCCACGCTTGGTATTTGTGTCTATGTAAGCTTTTGTTCTTTTGCAACTAACGATCATTTCTAAAATAAGTTTTTGCGCGCAAACTGAGGCACCTATGAAATCCAATAAGTAAAAAATAGCACAACCTGTAAGAGCAATTTCTTTAACTTTCCAGCTGTAACCTGCAGTTTGTAACCCGAGATCCTTACACACTGATTTTCTTGAACCAATAACTTGCGGGGCTATGATGCCAGACCCTGATATCCCAATTTCCTTAACCATCAAATCCTATAACCTGCAGGGTTTATAGCCGTTTTTGATAAGAACTTTAATAAAATTTGAAATATATGTCTTGTACTTTAAGTGAACTCGCCGTCAGCCATAATTTTGCATAATAATGTTATAAACACTCTGCAGATACAGGATTCAAGGGTTAAGAAAATTAGAGTATAAGGATCTGCGGTAATGACCTATCAAGTAACAGGTTTCGAGATTTTTTTATAGTGGGAAAAAACAGACACAACTTTTTTGTAATGAATAGAAGTAACAACTGCATATGAATGTAAGATCTGTACAACCAATACACCCAAGATAAATTTGGCAACCGTATGTCAGATTGACACGAAGTCCATGCTGTGCCAATTGCTTAAACCTGTCCTCCCTTGGTCTTGACTTCCAAAGCAAATGACTCGATGAAGGATGAAATCCGGTTTAGCTTACTTCTAAACGTGGTACTGCATATTAGCATTATTCCACCCAGGGAGTAAGAGAGAAGAAGACCCCACTCATACGGCCGGCCAACAGAAATCTGGGACGTTTTCACCGGCAAAGATCGCCAGGCTCGCTCATCGGAATAGCTGACACTAGCTAGCGTTAGACCGCTCTAGCGAGCGCCATTCGTACTGCGTAGCAGAATGATTTTATCTACCGTTCCCTGTCAACTGACATGCAACAATGTATATGAAATTATGCTTCAAAACTGTGCTTAATTATGATGACAATATGATTTGAGTTGACATAAATGATAAATCAGCTATCAAGAGACTCAAACCCCAAATACTATAACCATAAACTTAATCACAAGCCCCTCTCGGCAACTTAAATATTAATTAACTTAAATATTCACTTTTGATATTTATACAATGATATAAGCACGTTAGCCGAGAGGCTAAGGTTTTTGCTTTGAATTGTTAGGATCGCCGGTTCGAATCCTAGAGATGAATTTTTTTTGTCATTATGGAGAATATTGGAATCATATAAATACGTAAAACTAAATTGAAAATGCAAATAAGATATAATTATTGATTCTGTGTTTAAATGATAAAGCACATACAAATGAAATTTTTTGAAGATGATATTTAAAAAAAAATTAGCATAGACTTTCACCATTTTTTCCTGTACCTATTCAATATATATAATGATAGAAAATTTCCATGAACATTTGTGGAGTTTACTGGGGCATTTTTATCAACAATTTGATATATTTATCCTTAACTGAAATGCGTGCCACAAAATCTAAGCTTTAGCGCTTTTAACATGAATGCTGAAAAAAATAATAACACTATGGTATTATACGAAAAAATGAAAAATATCGCCGGTTAGAAACATATAACACATTTTTCAAAATTCAAACTAACGCATCAACAGACTGTGCTGTCAGTCCGTTTAATCGATACAAAAAATCACTTTATTTTCTATATTTTTCAAAAGCTACTGAAAATTATTTTCAATAATGCGACGTTTATTTGAGATCTACTTTTTTGTTATACGATATGATGATATTTTTCGTATATGTATAGATAAACGAATGTTGCAGTGATGTTGTATAAGAAAAATACATTTAAAACAATGGAAATGTTATATGAACGTGTGTGTGTGTGTGTGTGTAAAGAGGAACATCTGAAAGCTTATATGAGCGAAAAACTTTCGCCTATTTGAAATGGTAAAAATTATCATCTAAAATAATGTCGAATGAAAGGGTTGAAAACGATATTAATGGTAATTTGTCAAATATTCTTGATCATTTTCTACCACTATATATACTCAAATAACAATCGAAAAAACGTCCGAGGACGCAGTGAAATTTATTTTTAGCTATTGTAGGCTTAAAAAATTATACTATATCATATTATTGTCATTCATTTCATATCATTGAGTTTCCATTACTAATTTATTATTGTATTTATACAATTTTTTTTGTTTGATAGGTATACGACAAACAATCAAGTCAGAATTCTATATTAAATATACGTATACAATAGTATTATATATTTGCGATTTAACAACTTATCTACAATTCAGTCGAAAATAAAAAAACTTATATTCTGAAATATTCGTAAAAAGATATGTATCTCACTGTTAACGCATTTTTCCGTGAATTTTCGATCGGCAACGCGAGTTCGTAAACCGCTGTCTTTTGTCTACAAACAACTGACTGTCAGTATGTAGTTGATTTGTTCGTGCGTGCACGTGTATACATGCTTATTGCAATTTTTTTGGTTGGAATATGTTATATAATTTGATCAATTATGTCTCAAAAAGTAAAGTGTTGTGTGAACGGCTGTTCATCAGTGAGAAACAATGCAGCTAAACCAGAAGAAAGAATATCATTTTTTAGAGCTACCAAGGTAAGTAGGAACGTGTCATCTTCGTAACAGAAACTTTTGACGGTCCTCACTATTCCGAGTGATCATATTATCAGTATCATAAGTAACTTTACGTGAATGTATTTAGCAAATTTTACATGAATAAATATTCAGCAGATCGGTAAAAAGGCATTCTGTATTTCTTTATTAACAGGACGAAACACTTGAGAAATGGCGGGAGGTCATTCCCGATTTAATGAAGCATCACAATGTTCGCGAATTGCATTTTAAAGAAAATGAAGTAGAAAAGACCTTCAATCAAAAGTTGAAAGATGGTTCAATATTCACGATGATCAAAGAAAAACCCTCATTGAAAGAAGACTCCCTTCCTATCATATTTCCTAATGTGGTCGAGTTCGACAAAGGCTTACCTAAATCAAAGGCTACAGGCAGTATACAAGAATGTATGATATATTTTATATTTAATTTCATAATTGAAATAACAATATATACAATTTTTGGTTGAGATTTCCAAATAAATTGCAAATGATTTTTCTGCGCCGCGAGTGTATCGTCGCCACGCCACGCTTTGTACCATCAAGCAGAGTTTACGAGGGTGGTCCGATAAGTACTTAGCCTCACCGCCCGATGGCGCCACTCTCGCAAAAGAAATATTCTATCACGTAGTACAACCTTCTCGATGGTTACTGTCAAGATTTCAGTCGGATCGGAGTTGTAGTTTATTTTTGAAAGCGTGTGAAAGCAAGTGTGTCCGTTGATTTTTGAAAAATGGAAAAAGAGCAGTATCGGTCGGTGATTCGATTCTTGTTTTTGGAAGGGAAATCGCGCAGCGAAATCAAAAAGCGCTTGAATGCTGTGTACGGTGACTCTTCTCCTTCGATGGCGACCGTCTAAAATTGGTTTAACGAGTTTCAACGTGGTCGCACGTCGATTTTTAAAGAGCCACGTCCAGGTGCTCCGAAAACGGCTATCACGAAGGATAACGTGACAAAAATTCACGATCTCGTATTGGCAGATCGAC